CTTTTTGTTATTTTTGTTTCCATAAGGAACAACAGAGATATGAGCACAATCTTCAGCTTAAAGAAGTATAATAATATATTTGATATCACTTCATTCAAAATAGAGGTTTTTTTCTTCCTTCTGCACCTATAGTTAAGAGGCTTTTATTTTGTTTTTAAAAATAAGGTTTGCTGGCTTTTAGCAGGAAAAACTAGCTTTAGAGATGAGGCTAACAGAAAAGGTCTTTCTTATTATTAGAAATGTTATATCTCATGACTTATTTTTGCACTACATTATAAAATATCTCCTTGGGGTAGCTTCTGAATTTGTAAGTGATCAATTGACTGTTTTTCTCAGTTCTGCCATTTAACTGTCCTCTGCGCACTTACATGTTATGTTTATGAAAAGTTCGTTCCTAATTATATAGGCTGCGTCATTAAAAGGATAAGAGAGAAAAAAAAAAAAAGGATAAGAGAAAGTCTGAGGATAATATACCTTCAGGACCACCTTCACCAGTCAAAGCTAGAGCAGATGGAACAACTTTTAAAATCCAGAAGCCAAAAGGAACTAATTTCACTCATATAAAAATACAAGTGTTTTATGAAATACTGTGCTTACTTATATTTTAGGTAGTGTTTTTAAAATATCTGAATTATGACTAAAAGTTCTACTTCATTTAGAATTGAGAACCACATTAAAAAGGTAAAATTATTTGAGAATTGTAATTATCCTGTAAACAATGCCTTTTTAAAAAATTTATTTATTTATGGCTGTGTTGGGTCTTTGTTGCTGTGCAGACTTTTCTCCAGTGAAAGGAGCAGGGACTAGTCTTCACTGCAGTGGAAGGGCTTTTCATTGCTGTGGCTTCTCTTGTGAAGCATGGGCTCCAGAGTACAGGCTCAGAGGTCATGGCCCATGGACACAGTTACTCCACGGCATGTAGGGTTTTTCTGGACCAGGAACTGAACCCATGTCTCCTGAACTGGCAGAATTCTTTACCATTGAGCCACCAGCGAGCTTGTAAACAATGCCTTTTAAAAGTGATGGTTCTTTTAAAATTCTGTTAGTAACTGTGGAAGGAATATAAATCCAATATCACAAGAAATGAAAAAGATTAGCTAACGGCTTATTTTTAAAACCCACTATTAAAAAATACTCCTACAAAAACAAAACATAGTAACTAAGTTGCTACTATGAATAACAATCATTTAAGAATATGTTTCACTTTCTTACTTTACCTGAGTTTTATTTCTTGAAGAAAATATTTGTCAGCCAGCTAGCACATTTATGTTTCTGTTGTTTTTTCAAGTGGCCTTAAAAAAATTTTTTTTAATTGAAGTATAGTATTTGATTGACTATGTTGTGCCAACCTCTGCGGTACAGCAAAGTGACTCAGGTATACACATACCAGATGGGCCAAAAAGTTTCTTCAATTTTTTAAGTAAACATAAAAGACAAATTTTTCATTTTCACAAACTTTATTGAACAATGTATTAACTGTTTTGTTCCACTACCTTCTGCCATTTTTCAGGTAACATCATAATTTCATCACCCCAAAACTTATCTTTTTAAGCAAAGAATGGTGCTTCTTATCCAGGGAATTGGAAATTTTTTTCCATTAGGAGAATTTGGTAAAGATTGAAATAAATGGAAATCCAAAGGTGTAATGTCTGGTGAACACAGCAGATAAAGGAAAACTTTCCAGTCAAGCTGTAAGTTTTTGCCTGGTCATCAAAGAAACATGTGGTCTTGTGTTATCCTGATGGAAGATTGTTTTTTCTCTTGACTAATTTTGGAATTTTCAAGTGCCACTTTCAGTTGGTCGAATTGGGAACAGTACTTGTCGGAACTGTTTGGTTTTCCAGAAGGAGCTCACAATAGAGGACTTCCTTCCAATCCCACCACATACACATCACCTTCTTTGTGTGAAGACCAGCCCTTGGTGTGGCTGGCAGTGGCTCATTACACTTGCCCCTCGATCTCTCTTCCATGCCACATTACTGTGCAATATCCACTTCCCATCATCTCCTTCAATTTGTTTTAAAAGCAGAATGTTGTCATTATGTTTCAGTAGAGAATCACATGTAGAAATAGTCTTTTTTTTTTCACTTAATTTATGTGGAACCTAAACATCAAAGCAATGAACATAAGCAGGCAGGTGTAAATGATTTTTAGCACTCGATTTGGATATTTTGAGGATGTCAGCTATCTACCTTATGGTATGTTGATTGTTCTCAATCAATTGATTTGATTGTGCTATCAACTTCAATTGGTCTACCTGACTATAGAGCATCCTGCAACAAGATATCTCCAGCACAAACCTTTGCAAACCACTTCTGAGACATCTGATCAGTCACAGCATCTTCTCCAAACACCGCACAGAACTTTCTCTGCTTCAGCTGTGTTTTTACCTTTCTTGAAATAATAAAGCATAATATGAAGAAAGTTTTTCTTCCATCTTTTGTATTAAAATGGCTACACAAACATCAAAATTTTTATTTAAGTTTTTTTAAAAAAAAGCATGCCGCTATGACAGCTGCCACAGTAAGAATTGTTTCAAATGAAGTTAAAGACACCTAAGTGCTACTAAAGCTCTCCTATGGAAAAAACTGAATGAACCTTTTGGCCAACCCAATATATACATTTAAAAAAATATTTTTTTCCATTATGGTTTATGGTTTATCTCAGGAGATTGGATAGTTTCCTGTGCCATACAGTAGGACCCTGCTATTTATCCATTCTGAATGTAACAGTTTGCATTTACCAACTACAAACTCGCAGTCCATCCCTCTCTTCCCCTTCTTCCCCTCAGCAACCATGAGTCTGATCTCTAATCTGTGAGTCTACTGCTGTTTTGTAGGTAGGTTCATTTCTGACGTATTTGGCTGCACTGTGAAGCATGTGAGATTTTACTTCCCTGGCCAGCGATTGACTGCAGCAGAAGTGTGGATTCTTAATCACTGCTAGGGAAGTCTTGTGACATATCTTAGATTCCACACAGAAGTGATATCATAAGGTATTTGTCTTTCTCTTTCTGACTTACTTTACTTAGTATGAGAATCTAGAGTTGCATCCATGTTGCTGCAAATGTGTCTGTTTTTACAATCTTTTCTTTCATTTTTCCTTTCAGATGTCATATTTAAAATTATTCTCCTCTCTTTGACATTCTTAGGTTATATGGTATTTCACATTACAGCAAATACTATTTTTTGAATGCTTGGTTCATTCCATATATTATGCTAAGCATTTACATAGATCATCTCTTAAAATTAAATTTCAATTCTGAAAAGGCAAGATATTTCTACATGCAATTTTTAGGTAACAAAACTGAGGCTTAGTGAGGTTAACACCTTGCCCAAGGCCACTTAGCTTGCCTGTGTCTTAGCTGGATATAATTCCAATTCTGAGCTATTCTAAAACCCTAAGCTCTTAACATTTTCAAGTCATTGGCAATTCACTAACATGTTCTTAAATTTTGATTTCTCATCAAAAAAGCTTGGTTTTGAAATTTCATTTCAAAAATGATTTAAAAATTAATAACTATACTTTGGATCATAGGGAGGGTTAATTTATAAAATACTTTGCCTGATTTGAATGTCATATTTTCATTTGTGTTTATAAGTTGGAGCCAAGTTATAAAACTTAAATTGCCTTGAGCCATACAGTAAGAAATACAAACAAACAAATGAATGGTGCATACATGCCAGGAAAAGGTCAAAAGCTGTGACTGCTTGCTTCTGGAACAAAGTCTTAAAAACTGGCTGGGAAAATTGAGTTACCATACAGCAATACCAGTATCCCCCCCAAAATCAAATATGTGCTGTATGAATTTCCAATGATTTTAGGCTCAGCAAAACAATAGTTACATTAAAATCAACGTAATTAAAAATATTTTAGCTTAATTTCCATTTTTTTCCAAATTAATAGTTAAAAAGAGCTATCAGCACAGTTGAGCTATTTCAAATCCTGAAAGATGATGCTGTGAAAGTGCTGCACTCAATATGCCAGCAAATCTGGAAAACTGAGCAGTGGCCACAGGACTGGAAAAGGTCAGTTTTCATTCCAGTTCCAAAGAAAGGCAATGCCAAAGAATGCTCAAACTACCGCATAATTGCACTCATCTCACACGCTAGTAACGTAATGCTTAAAATTCTCCGAGCCACGCTTCAGCAATATGTGAACCGTGAACTTCCAGATGTTCAAGCTGGTTTTGGAAAAGGCAGAGGAACCAGAGATCAAACCGCCAACATCCGCTGGATCATCGAAAAAGCAAGACAGTTCCAGAAAAACATCTATTTCTGCTTTACTGACTATACCAAAGCCTTTGACTGTGGATCACAATAAACGGTGGAAAATTCTGAGACGGGAATACCAGACCACCTGACCTGCCTCTTGAGAAACCTGTATGCAGGTCAGGAAGCAACAGTTAGAACTGGACATGGAACAACAGATTGGATCCCAATAGGAAAAGGAGTACATCAAGGCTGTATATTGTCCCCCTGCTCATTTAACTTATATGCAGAGTACATCATGAGAAATGCTGGGCTGGAGGAAGCACAAGCTGGAATCAAGATTGCCGGGAGAAATATCAATAACCTCAGATATGCAGATGACACCACCCTTATGGCAGTAAGTGGAGAAGAACTAAAGAGCCTCTTGATGAAAGTGAAAGAGGAGAGTGAAAAAGTTGGCTTAAAGCTCAACATTCAGAAAACTAAGATTATGGCATTCAGTCCCATCACTTCATGGCAAACAGATGGGGAAACAGTGTCAGACTTTATTTTTGGGGGCTCCAAAATCACTGCAGATGGTGACTGCAGCCATGAAATTAAAAGATGCTTACTCCTTAGAAGGAAAGTTATGACCAACCTAGACAGCATATTGAAAAGCAGAGACATTACCTTGTCAACAAAGTGCCGTCTTGTCAAGCCTATGGTTTTTCCAGTGGTCATGTATGGATATGTGAGTTTGCCTATAAAGAAAGCTGAGCATTGAAGAATTGACGCTTTTGAACTGTGGTGTTAGAGAAGACTCTTGAGAGTCCCATGGACTGCAAGGAGATCCAACCAGTCCATCCTGAAGGAGATCAGTCTTGGGTGTTCATTGGTAGGACTGATGTTGAAGCTAAAACTCCAATTCTTTGGCCACCTGATGTGAAGAGCTGACTCTTTGAAAAGACCCTGATGCTGGGAAACGCAGGATTGAGGGCTGGATTGGGGGCAGGATAAGAAGGGGATGAAGGGGATGAGATGGTTGGATGGCATCAGCGATTCAATGGACATGAGTTTAAGTAAACTCTGGGAGTTGGTGACGGACAGGGAGGCCTGGCGTGCGTGGTTCATGGTGTCTCAAAAAGTCGGACATGACTGAGTGGCTGAACTGAACTGATCAGCACAGGCCTACCTCAAGTTTTCTGCTGTATAATAAAAATAATTTCTCACATTGTGCTCAGTCACTCAGTCATGTCTGACTTTTGTGACCCCATAGACTATAGCCTGCCAGGCTCCTCTGTCCATGGGATTCTCCAGGCAAGAATACTAGAGTGGGTTGCCATTTCCTTCTCCAAATTTCTCTCATTGGGTATACACAACTCTTACAGTGTGTTTCTATATATTCAGGATTTAGAGAGTATTATACAATCTGTATAGCTGATGCAAAATGGAAATTCAATAAATGTTAGCTGAATCAGAACTTTCACAATCTACTTATCTTCTCCACCTTTATTCGTTTGAATGACTAAGCCAAAACTTTCTTAGCATTACTCTTCCTCACAGTAATGGCACTGAACTCACAGTGAGTTTTAGAGGTTCTTAGACTTCTTTCATTAGGACCCCTTAGAAAATCTTATATCTATGAGACCCCACTCTAGAAAAAGATACATAAAAATATTACATACAATATTAAAATTACATTTATTAACAACAAAAAGAAGACAGGCTCTGAAGTTTAGAAACATCTAAGACCTCCCTTTTAAAGCCTCTTAAAGCCCCCATTTCCCTCTGTAAAGTGCAAGTACTAGCTATCTCAGGTTATGCAGATTGAGTCAAATTATGTAATTATGGTGCTTGCAATTCAGTAGATGCCAAGTTGTAGCTGTAATTATTATTAGGCCAATACTGACCTTCTATTTTCTAATTACTGGTTTTTTTTTTCAGGTTTTCTTGTGCTGATTGGTTTGTCACAGCCACTATATGGTTTCCAAGGATCTCATATTCTTCTCATTGGTTGCTTGGTTTTTATTTTCAGGCCACCTATTTTTTAGATGATAATGACCCATGAGGGCTTTCCCAGTGTCTCAATGGTAAAGCATCTCCAGCAATGCAGGAAATGCAAGAGATGTGGGTTCACTCACTGGGTTGGGAAGATCCCCTGGAGGAGGGCACAGCAACCCACTCCACTATTCTTGCCTGGAGAATCCCATAGACAGAGGAGCCTGGCGGGCTACAGTCCAGTGGGTCACAAAGAGTCAGAAATAACTGAAGCAAGTGAGCATGCATGCATGACCCATAAAAACACTTGAGAGTAATAACATCTTTAATGTTCAGCTGAGAATATTAAGTGGCTTTAATATTGCTGCTATCAAGTCCAAAGGTGATGAATAATAAAAAAGAGAGAAATTCAATATAAGAACAGGATATCTGAAAGATAAGATTGGCTTAGAAGTTTACACTGGGTATCTCTCACATACATGTGGCTTTCAAGAATATGGGAGAAATTACACTATTATACCTACATCATGTACTTTCTTGAAAACTAAATGACAATAAAACACAATGTGGGTACAAAACTGAGATTCAGTCACATTTGAATAATGAATGATAAATGAATACCAAGTCAGAACAGAACATCCTATTAAGATGAAGCATTTGTTCTATTATTTTCAAAACCGGTTATATTAAAAACATACTTTTATGCTCATATCTGGAAAACAACTCATAAAGGATATAGAAAATTTACAGAAGTCAGAAAAAATGCCATGAAAATAATGCAAAGCTTTGGAAAATCACCATTATAGAAATCATTTATATGACAAACGCTAAGCAACTGTCCAAACTTTCTTACTTTACCGTATTTGCATTGTCATTGTATTTTTCCAGCATTGAGTATTTCATGAAATGTATAGGTGACAGGATGAAGATGAAGATATTTTGGTTATGTTTGATAAGAGTTACTGTTTTCATCATTATGAGATTAAACAAAATGAAGTTTAATAAAGATTCTCAAGCATTAAAAAATGCTTCTATAATTAAACAGTAACCCTAATCTATGTGGAAGTTCATAAAAAGTGTCTTAAGAAGAGTATGTACAATAAACATGTCCCCCCTCCCCAGAAAGATAGCAGTCTTATGATAAATTTATCATAATGACTCTCATTTTAGAATGGTGAATGCTTCATTTAAAGTACAGTATGCTTTTTTTCAAATTTTGCTTCAGATCTTATGCATTTATGATTCTATGCAGTTTCTAAAAATATGTAAAGAAGCTGAACCTGTGATTCAGTAACACTTTTTATTCTACTAAATTTGTCAGACTGGGAAGGAAAGCGAACGGCTTTATTCCTTTCGCATTTTAAAGATTTCAGAGTTGAACACTAGTAATGTAATGGGTTTCTCTTGGTAACTTAATGGCATTTCGGTATATGTATTACTGAAATATTTGTCACTCTTACTGCACAGACTTGTGATAACTATTTTGCTTAAATGAAACTGGTATTATGTGTTCTCAGACATTATTACCAACGCAGTCTTTGTGAACTAAATTAACTATTCATGTTTAACCAGATAATCGACAGAGGGTTCCTTTTTGAAACCAATGCTTACTCTTCAAAAGCTACTGTTTCTAATATGCACTGAACAAAAGTTTAATTTTTTATGCCAGACTTACATGTTATCAAGCACTGTAATGAGAGGTAAATATAGAAACATTAAAATTTATATTTAACCTTTTCAGGGTTGAACTATATTTCAAGGGTCAGTTGTATTTTGTTGACTCTTTTGCAAGTGTGGGGAAACATCATGCAAAAGAATCAGCTTTTATTTTAGGACTGATTTGAATAGGTAAAAACTTACATCTCATTAGTTTTGGGATGATTCACAGGTAAGATCTTATCTTGGTAAGATAAGAGCAGTGATAAAAGTAGATAAAATAAAAACAAATACTATTTACAGTATAGGATTCTATTTGGTGCTAAAACCTGGGAATGGATTGATTATTGGTGACTTATTGAAAGCCATCCATATCAACTCTTCCACCTGGCATTTAAAATACTCCCAAATTTACATAAATTCCATTACCCCTCTGCTTACCTTAGGCCAGTTCTTGCCTCTGGTCCATGCTCATTTCAGCATCTGAGTTGGCCTGAATTGTGTCCCCACCCCCAAATTCATGAGGTACTTATCCCTGCTAGTTCAGAATGTGACTCTATTTGGAGATAGGCCATTTAAAAAAGTAATTAAGGTTAAATGAGGTCATATAGGTATGTACTAATCCAATATGACTGGTGTTCTTATAAAAAAGGGAAATTTGGAGACAGACTCACAAAGAAAATAAATCTGTTAAAAGCCACCTGGCCACCGGTACTCTTGGAGCAATCTGCTTTTTGTCCTGTCCTTTCAAGCACATCTATCCAAACAGCGTCGCTGAACATGACACTTGAGCAGCCGCATGGTGAAGCTTTCCCTCACTTCCCTTTACTGATCTAGCAGAGTTTCTATAGACTCTACCACAGGTTTTAGCAATTTCTAGCACATAAAGTAGAAATCGTAAAGGATTTCATGAGTTAATACAGGTAAAATGCTTAAAACAATGCCTGTGAGTATACGCGTTTGCTTTATCTGTTGCTATTACTATTTCCTAGTTATATTTTTCTCTAATAAAATCATGTTACTCATGAGACTCTCTTTAGTACAACGCTGGGCACATTAATACTAAAAACACTCGATGCATAAGATTCTTGGGTCTAACCTCATTCATTACATACATCTTTCTGGGGCACCTGCTTAACTGCTTTCCTATACTGTATAAAGGAAGATAAAATGCTAAAAATACAGGGTTTCTACCCTCAAGTTGCTTACAGTTGGTCAAAGTATTTTACACTTCCTTCTGGCAAAATATTTTTGAGGACTTAACATTTGTTAATACTGTGCTAGAAAAAGGGGGAAAAGGATAAAGCAAATATAGTTCTTGCCTGTAAGCAGCTCATCGTCTAGTTGGGCAAAACCCAATTTTATACAAAGTGAAGAAAAAAGTGGGTCCAGAAAATTTGCACACAAGATGAGTCCCAAAGGAAGCTTTATGAGTTCTACTACTGAATAACAAATCAATCCAAACAGTAGCAGCTTCAAACAACAAATATTATCTCAGATTCAGGAGGGGCTTAGCTAGGTGGTTCTTGTTCAGGTATCTTATGAAGTAATAGTTAAGATGCTGGCTAGGGCTGGAGTTCTCTCAAAGGGGCCCAAAGATTAGCTTTTGAGTTCACTCACAGTTGTCCACAGGCTTTGGTTCCTTGTCGGCTGGGATCATTTATTTCTAGGCACACAGGCTTCTCCATAGGCTGTCTGAATGTCCCATGACAAGGCAGCGGGCTTCCCTGGGAGTGACTCAAGAGAATATGCAGGAGGAAGTCTCAATGCCTTTTATGACCTAGTCTCAGAGTCACAGTCTCTTCTATCTTATTCTATTTACAAGAAGAAATTCACAATGTTCAACTCACACTTAGAAGGAGGTGAATTAAGTAGTTCCACATCCTGAAGAATGAAGTATCAAATATTTTTCAGACATTTTTTTTTTTTTTTGGCCATGCTACACAGCTTTTGGGATCTTAGTACCCTGCCTGACCAGGGATGGAACTCATGCTCTCAGCAGTTAAAAGTGCAGAGTTCTAACCACTGGATTGCCAGAGAATTCCCTTATGGACATATTTTTAAAACCAGCATAGAAGACTATACTGGTTTAACATATTTTGAGGAGAGGAAGTGGTCACTCAAGGCAGAAGGAAAACTGCAAGGTTCAAAGCATGAAGCATCATGTATTAGGAAAGACCCACAAGTAGCATCTAAGGCTATAGGAAGGTGTTATAACATGAAGAGCTTTATGCCTCATGGAAAGGAGTTTGCACTTTTAACTTGTGGTGGATGAGGTATATCACTATGAAGATTTTAGGCAGGGGGTCTCTTAAGATGTCTACTGTAAAATCTGGTGGTAGTCTGGAAGACTGAGGAGGGGTAAAACTTACTGAAGACCAATTTAAACAAAATCTCTTTCAAAGTTCAGATGAGAGATGATGAGGAAATGATTAAGAGAATGACTGAAGGAATGGAGAGCTAAGGGGGGATCCTAG